GTTATTAAAATTATCTATTATTTATTGCATTGGTGGTTTTCAAACTATGTCCTTTGGAATCCTATAAAAATCAAATTAAAGGAGGAACAGTGAATAAGACCCTGAAGAGATATTGCTTTTCTCTTCCCGCCAAACCAGTGTAACTTATATCAGAGAAACTTTCTTGTATTTGCTTTGTATATTATACTTCTTATAAATATTATTTGTGAAAAAAATGATAGCTGTATATCACTAGTATTTAAATGTATTTTGAATAAAAGCATTGTTACTCGAGTTGATTTCTTAAGTGACAGTTCTTGCATAGGTAAAAATAAATTATGTGAGGCCTACAATACACAATATTACAATTCTCTATTTGGAATAAAAATGGCTTCCTAAATATATTCATTTATTTTCTATTTAAAAAAAGAAAAAACATTTACCTGAACACATAATTCCTCATTATACTGAGGGAGTTAGATACTGTAGTGATACAAAGACACGTCTCTTCAGTGAGGCCACTGTCCTCATGGGACAATATGCAATGACTAACTACCACCAGATGATACTGAGCTCTAAAAAGAGACTGAGTCACACAGGACTGCACTAGGAATTTGATGAGCCCTAGACATTTCTGCCTTCATGGGCCCTTTCTTCCATAAAGTAAGATTAAACCTTACATCTTACATCTATGTTGTTATTAATGTAGACATACTAAATGTTGTTTAATCACTCAGTTGTATCTGACTCTTCATGATCCCATGGACTGTAGCCTACCAGGCTTCTCTGTCCATGGGATTTCCCAGGCAAAAGTACTGGAGTAGGTTTCCATTTCCTTCTCCAGGGAATCTACCCAACCCAGGGATCAAGGCCATGGCTCCTGCCTTGGTAGGTGAATTCATTACCATTGAGCCACCAATTGGTAACTAATAATCATCTCCACTGACGAGCAAAGAAGAGAGAGAAGAGGGTACTCTGGTACACTCTGGTAAAATGGAGAACGTGCTTCAAACCTAATGAGTCAGTTATACCTGAGCTCCACAATGGAAATGAATTTAATGTTTTCAAATACTACAATTTTTTTAACACAAGCTGAAAATAATTTTACAGCTTATATCCTACCCTTAAAACATTCATTTTTAAAATGTAATTCAAATTTACAAATTCAAAAAAAACAGCACAAGAACCACTTGCAAATAAATTTTATCTGCCTGCTGCATCCAGATCACTGATACTAAATCAATGTGTTAAGAAGTAGAACCACTAGAAAGGGCAATAAACTAGCTTGAGATTCAAGCATCCTACAATCAAAAAGTGTTCCCTATTAACTCTGAAAAAATTAGCTTAGGATTCCTGCTCTAGTGGTCAGGGTCTAGAGTAAGAAATTATCCCATAGTTATCTCATTGCTTTCAAATACAGAACTATAGTAGCAAAGGGCTTTCCTGGTGGCTCAGTCGGTAAAGAAACCACCTGCAATGCAGGAGACCCAGGTTCATTTCCTGGGACAGGAAGACGCCCTGGAGAAGAGAATGGTAACCCATTACAGTATTCTTGCCTGGAGAATCCCATGGATAGAGGAGCCTGGTGAGCTACAGTCAATGGAGTCACAAGGAGCTGCACACAACTGAGCAACTAACACTTTCATAACAAAGAATATGATTCTTAAAACAGATTCTTGGAGACACTGCATTAACAAATATCCATTGTATTATCCCTAGAGCACTGTTGGAGAAAGGATATACACAATATGGGAAGAACCAATGATTCCGTGTTGAGAGAATTTGTCCTGACTGGGCTTTCTGCTCACCCAGAGCTCCAGACAGTTTTCTTTGTGTTAGTTCTGTGTATGTACTTGATGATCCTGCTGGGAAATGGAGTCCTTATCTCTGTAATCATCTGTGATTCTCATTTGCACACCCCCATGTATTTCTTCCTCTGTAATCTTTCCTTCCTGGACATTTGCTATACAAGCTCCTCTGTCCCATTAATTCTTGACAGTTTTCTTACAGTAAGGAAAAGGGTTTCCTTCTCTGGATGCATGGTACAAATGTTTCTCTCTTTTGCCATGGGAGTCACAGAGTGTATACTTCTAGGCATGATGGCACTTGACCACTATATGGCCATCTGCTACCCACTGAGATACCCTGTCATCATGAGAAAAAGTGCTTATGTGCCCATGGCAGCTGGATCCTGGGCTGCAGGTATTGTTGACTCAGTGGTGCAGACAACTCTTGCAATGCAATTACCATTCTGTGCTGACAATGTAATTAACCATTTCGTTTGTGAAATTCTGGCTATCCTAAAATTGGCCTGTGCTGATATTTCAATTAATGTGATCAGCATGGCAGGGTCAAATCTGGTTGTTCTAGTTATTCCATTGCTAGTAATTTCCATCTCTTACATTTTCATTGTTGCCACTATTCTAAGAATTCCTTCCACTGAAGGAAAACGTAAGGCCTTCTCCACCTGCTCAGCCCATCTTACAGTGGTGATTGTATTCTTTGTAACAATCTTCTTCATGTATGCTAAGCCCAAATCTAAAAGCTCCGGTGGTACAGATAATCAAGACATCATTGAGGCCCTCATCTCTCTCCTCTATGGAGTGATGACCCCCATGCTCAATCCTCTCATCTATAGTCTGAGGAATAAGGATGTAAAGATTGCTGTGAGGAACATGCTGCATAGGAAAAACTTCTCTGATGGAATATGAGTAATGATTTATACTATGTAACTCAGAATTCAAAGCTGCTGAAGACACAAAATTCAAATAGAGAAGATTACCATGTGAAAACAATTTCACAAAGTGTCATTCAAAACTGTAAGATTTTGTAAATAGTGCTACAAGATCACTGAACTGCAACTGTTGCTTCAGGCCATGTTTTTCTCCAGATATATGATGAGGAATGTGATGGCAAGATCATTCAGTTTCAGTTCAGTCACTGACTCTTTGCAACCCCATGGACTGCAGCACACCCGGCTTCCCTGACCATCACCAACTCCCAGAGCTTGCTCAAACTGATGCCCATTGAATCAGTGATGCCATCCAACCATCTCATCCTCTGTCATCCCCTTCTCCTCCTACCTTCAATCTTTCCCAACATCAGGGTCTTTTCCAATGAGTCAGTTCTTCCCATCAGGTAGCCAAAGTATCGGAGTTTCAGCTTCCTCATCAGTCTTTCCAATGAATATTCAGGACTGATTTCCTTTAGGATTGACTGGTTTGATCTGCTTGCAATACAAGGGACTTTCAAAGTCTTCTCCAACACCACAGTTCAAAAGCATCAATTCTTCAGCTCTCAATGGAATATTACCCAGCCATTAAAAAGAGTGAAATAATGTCATTTGCAGTAACATAAACAGACCTAAAGATGGTCATACTGAGTGAAGTAAGTCAGACAGCAAAAGTGAAATATTGTATAATATCACCTATATATGGAATATAAAAGTAATACAACTGAACTCCTTTATAAAATGGAGAGTCACAGACTTACAGAACAAACATATGGTTACTTTAGGGTGGTGTGTAGGAATATTTAAGGAGTTTGAGAATTACACTACTGTATTTAAAGTCATTAACCAACAAATACATCCAACATATCACAGGAAACTCTGCTAAATAGTATGTAAAAATAAATGGGAAAAGAATTTGAAGATGAATAGATACATGTAAATGTATGATTGAACCACTTTGCTGAACACCTGACAATAATATAACATTGCTAATCAACTATATTCCAATATAAAATAAAAAACTTAAAATATATGATAAAATATATATTTATGACATATAAATATATGATATATGTTGGTTGCCAAAATATGTCTTGGTTACTGTTGTTACTTTTAGTTAGTTACTTTTTCATTTCTAATTGCAGAAATTAAACATGCTTGTGGCTTTTCAGAAAACTGTTATGGAAATGCAAAATATTGAAAATCTCTTAGGAAGCCCAAGGAAAACATAATCACTCTTAAATATTTAGAAAATAATAAAGACACATGTATATTACCATATGTGAAATGGATGACCAATGCAAGTTCGATGCATGAAACAGGGAACACAAAGCTGGTACACTGAGACAACCCAGAGGGATGGGATAGGGAAGGAGGTGGGAGGGGATTCGGGATGGGGACACATGTACAACCATGGCTGATTCACGTCAATGTATGGCAGAAACCACCACAATAGTGTAAAGTAATTAGCCTCCAATTAAAATAAATTAATTAATTAAAAAGAAAATAATAATAAAGACAAAAGGTGTTCTAAAATATACTTTGTAACCTAAAATAAGTACACAGCCAATTACTCAAAATCACTATGAATTAGTACATATATCATATATTTATTCTAATATTGTTCATTATTTATAATTTCTTTCCACCAACACATAAAGCTCTTCATGATGAGCAGGAACTTTTTATTATTCTATAATATCAAAAAGATCTAGTAGAGGACATGACAAATAATGGATGCTCAATAAATATTTTCTTAAAAAATAAATGAACCACATCATGTATAAATACTGAAATTTGTATCTGCCATATCTGAGTTAACAATGGTTTTTCAAAAAATATCTGATTCAATATAATATTTTATAAATTAACTATATTAGCATTTTTCCTGTCATGGATCACAATCTTCTCATGGTGAAGGGGCTTGTGTAACTCAATGAAGCTATGAGCCATGCCATGCAGGGCCACCCAAGATGGACAGGCAAGAGTGGAGAGTTCTAACAAAACATAGTTCACTGGAGGAGAGAATGACAAATCACTCCAGTATTCTTGCTGCAAGAACCCCATGAATGTGAACAATATGAAAAGGCAAAAAGATGACACAGGAAGATGAGCCTCCCAAGTCAGAAGGTGTCCAATATGCTACTGACAAAGAGCAGGGGACAATTATTAATAGCTTCAGAAAGAATGAAACAGGGCAAACCGGAAATGATGCTCAGCTGTGGAAGTGTCTAGTGGTGAAAGTAAATTCTGAACAATATAAAGAACGATATCGCATAGGAGCCTGTAACGTCAGGTCCGTGACTCAAGCTAAATCAGAGGTAGTCAAGCAGGAGACGGCAAGAGTGAACATCAACATCTTAGGAGTCAGTGGCCTCAAATGGGCAGGAATGGGTGCATTTAATTCAGGATTCCATTATGCTTACTGTGTGCAAGAACCCCTGAGAAGAACTGGAGTAGCCCTCAGAGTCAACTAGAGAAGTTGAAATTCAGTACTTGGGTGCAATCTCAAAAATGACAGAAGGATCTCGATTTGTTTTTAAGACAAACATTTCACCAAAATAGTAATCCAAGACTATGCCTAAACTACTGATGCCAAAGAAGCTGAAGTTGACCAGCTCCATGAAGACCCACAAAGACCTTCTAGAACTAACACCAAAAAAAAGATATCCTTTTCATTATAGGGGATTGGAATGCAGAGGTAGGAAGTCAAGAGATGTCTGGAATAACAGTGAAGTTTTATCTTGAGCTCCTTATTGCAAAATTGAATCCAATTTCTTAAGTTGAAGAAAGTAGGGAAAACCACAAGGCCATTCAGATAAGACCTAAATCAAATTCCTTATGATTATACAGTGGAGGTGACAAACAGATTCAAGAGATTAGATCTGGTAGACAGAGTGCCTGAAGAATAGTGGATGGAGGCTCCTAACTAAAGGAGGCAATGAACACCATCCCAAAACAAGAAATGCAAGAAGGCAAAGTGGTTGTCTGAGGAGGCTTTACACATANGACAGATTTTATTTTCTTGGGCTCCAAAATCACTGCAGTCAGTGACTGCAGCCATGAAATTAAAAGACTCCTTGGAAGGAAAGTTATGACAAACCTGGACCGTGCATCAAAAAGCAAAAATATCACTTTGCCAGCAACAGTCTGTATAGTCAAAGCTACTATTTTTCCAGTGGTCATGTAGAGATGTGAGGGTTGGACCATAAAGAAGGCTGCACAACCAAGAATTAATGCTTTTGAATTGTGGTGCTGGAGAATACTCTTGAGAGTCCCTTGGACTGCAAGATCAAACCAGTCATTTCCAAAGGAAATCAACCCTGAATAATCATTGGAAGCACTGATGCTGAAGCTAAAGCCTCAATACTTTGGCACCTGATGCGAAAAACTGACTCACTGGAAAAGACCCTGATGTTGGGAAAGACTGAAGGAAGAAAGAGAACGGGACGACACAGAATGAGATTGTTGGATGGCACCATCGACTCAATAGACATAAATTTGGGCAAATTCAAGGATATAGTGAAGGACATGGAAATCTGGTGTGGTGGAGTCCACAGAGTTGCAAAGAGTTGAATATGACTTAGCGACTGAACAACAACAACATTAACATTTTATCATACGATCTCCCTTAATATAATAAATTACCTTTTTTTATGTGATGTGTATCATAAAGGAGAGGAAGAAGCTTTGTTTATCAGATACCATAACTTTTCCGGGTTTGGAACATAATGAGATTAAGATAAAAGAGTCCCCTAGTAATGTACCCTAAGTTTTAAACCAATAACAACAGAAGTGACATGGTAGCAGGGAATTCCCTTTGGACTTTGAAAAGAGATCAGATCATAATGAAGACATCTCATCTCTGCATTGGATCACACAGTTTCTAAGTGGCTGGAGAACTAGACATAACTGGTAACCAACAGCAATTTTGCTAAGAGGATAAGAGGTGGCAAGCTATTCAACATATTGAAGAGCTACAGTTTCTGGTGTTGGAGGATAAGGAGAGCTCCAGTTGAGACAATTTCTGTTGCCCGAAGAATGCAGCCACTGGAGCAGTGCCAATGTTAGCAATGGAAACCCCACTTCTGTTGAAGGAATTGAGTCAGATAGGTCAATAGAAGAAAGCATTCTTTTCTTCCAACCTGTTGAAGAGTCCATGAGAACTGAAATATAGAACATACATCAAAAGTAAAAGACTATAACTACTTCTAAATTATAAAAGCAGGGCCTTAACATTTTCCTTTCTTGATAACACATAATTATTATTTTTCATAAGACTAAATAATTTAATTCATGTTTAGCACTAAATATTGCCTAGAACACCCTAACATCCAATAAACATCAGTGATTTTTTTTATTAATGCTCAGTGTATTTTAATAGGTCATAAAATTTTGAATAGGCACAAAATTGTCATTCTTACATTTTTACAGAATAATTTTGATGATATTATATTATTATCTCTCAGCTTCAAATCCACTTCTCTTTATGAGTTTCAGCTGAGACACTGAAAACCACATTTCTTCTTTGCTAGCTAACATCTATTAAATTCTTCCAAAAGAGTCGCTAGAGAGAAAATTAAAGGTTTGATGAGGATGAGGGACTTGACCCTCCCTATTAGCCTTCTGCTCATGTTAGCATAACTCTGCTTATGGTTCTTCACCAATATAATGGCAAATTCTTAGCTGCTTCCAGTATTGGTTTCAGATTTTATTTCTTCTTTTCTATAAGCCAAGAAAAGGGGCTTCAAGAAAATAGCACTTCTACCAGTGCTATTTCCTCAGAGCTTTGAATCTGTCACTGAGATTTTACTTCCGGTAAATAAATAGCCATGCTAAGTCTTTACTTTGTCTTGAGGTATCTTTAAAATGATAAAATATCCAATTCTATGCGTGAGAATTATAGTGAATCAGCTGGAGCATAAATAGATAACTAGCAGGAAGCTGCCGTCTAACACATGGAGCCCAGCTTGGTGCTCTATGACCACCTAGATGCATGGAATTGAGGCAGAGGTGGGGGGTGGCTTATGAGGGAGGGGATACATATATATAATGAATACTGCTTCACGATGATGTATGGCAGAGAACACTACAACACTGTAAAACCACTATTCTCCGATTAAAAAAATTAGAAATAGATTTTAGATTTGGTCAGATTGTCATTTCCATCTGACCAAACCTATCTGTTTTTTTCATTTTCATAG